CGTGAAACTTTCTATTTTGGGGTTTTCAAGATGGAGGTACATTTTGTTTCTTCAAAAAGATACATAATGACATTCTCCACTGGTTAGATGTTTTTTGTTTACTGTTTATTTATGTATATTTTAAATGATTTTTAACTTCAAAGGAAAGATTACTGCTAGTTTGTAGCAGACTGCGAATTAAAAAAAAAATAGGTAATTGTTTTTCTGGATCTTAAAATCATAGTCCCTCAGCAAAAAAAACAGAATTGTTCACCGTCACCCCATGCCGACCTATCGAATAGATTGATCGATGCGAAGCTTCAGATCAGATTCAGACAGGTATGTATATGTTGTTGTACAATGAAGCGGATACTGGGATTACTAACATGTGAGGCAGTATTTGTACCTTTTTTAATATTGCTACATAGATAGCCCATGAATCATGATTTCCATTAATTCACACATCCAAACCGACAAACGGCCTTCCATTTGCCGTGGGAAAATTAAAATTTGCAAAAATAATGGAAGAATACACGTAGAAAAATGTTTTATTTCTGTTAAAATTACTCATACGTCTACGGTTGGCGGGTTGAAACCCTCTGCCATTAGCCGTTGGAATATTTATGAGCAAGATGAAATATTTCGTGTTATTTTAGCTCTCTCAGAACTCATTTTCGCTCCACGTTAGAATTTCATTGTTGCCTAGATTACGAGAGACCCGGCCAAAGCGGCATTAAGATCCGTCACAGAATACGTGATTTAGTTCGAGAATAAATAATTTAACCTACTGCGATCATAATCTGGGTGGTACCGGTGCAGCAATCTACTTAGCTTTGCTGCATATGTATGCTCTTTGCGATGTACTTCGGCTTGTATTATTAATTATTGCCTACTCCAACGGTAAACGCTGCGTTGGTTGGTAAATCTTAACGTTATCCGGATTATCAGTGGAAATCACCGCTGCTGCTCGTAGCTTCCTATTTCATAATCCGATTCGCTGCAAGTGCAAGAAAGTTTGACCGAAAGGCGAGTTATGTCTATAGGATATTTCAATTTTTAATAAGCGACCTGCGGTCTAAAATTTCATATTTTCAACATAAAAAAAAATGCAGGAACTACAAAACCCTACACGTGGCTGAACATCACTTGAAGTCAAAACCTGCACACTTTTTATATGCCCTTGTAACACGCTATACAGTAGTGTCTCAGAAAACCATTCAAGTGCAATATCGCGAGTACTGCGGTTCAGGTTTTCCTCGAGAAGATGTAAAATGTCTTCCTCTCCTTCCTCTGAAATAAAACAACGTAAATAAATCTACAGTCGGCGAGAGCAAAGATGACATGTCCACGTCATCAAATAACCACACTGAACTTGACCTAGTTACTGTATTGTAAACAGTTGATTAAGTGGGGCGATCCAGGGTCAGCCTAAGTTTCGCGTAATAATTCTCGATTAACTTTTTGGAACACACTTATTTCAGAAGTATCTTGTACCTGTAGAACTCAATTAACGCTTAGCTTGGAAACTTTTTATTGTTCGCAGCTGTACTCTTTAAACTGCCATTTCCTGAAGAGTGTAATGTGTTCGCCGTTAGGGAGTGCAGTGATATTCACCATATTCATACATCAAAGCATCTATCGCGTTTTTGTGGAGCTGGTGATAAGTTGCAAATGCGTAGCCATACGCATGTGACTCTAGGGAGGTGGAGATGAAAAATTAACGTCGTTTACCAAAAGACTCCCTTCACGGACTCGGTTAGTAGACTTATTTGTAACAGCTAACTGATAACAATGCTCTCTGCGTTGATAATTCCGGAAATAAATCAAAACCAAAAGTACATTAGCCTCCCAGGTATTCAGACCCCGCTTACTTTATAACTTCCTATCTCGAAATAGTAGCACCGGGAACTTAATCTAGTCGGCTGTGTATCCCAAAATGCGATTCCGATGGGTTTTACTTCGCTAGGATGTATAGGGGGATTAGCTGGGGGACAACTCTTAATGAAGAAACAACTTACTATACCGAGTCATTTTGTAAAAAAAAACATTTCTTCTCGCTGGTCTTACAATCGTACAATATTGACAGCAGTTGTAATACGTAATGTGGATCATCAGTAGTTTCCAGTTCACTCCGATACACTTTTTGTGACCGTAAAAAAAGTCCAGAGCGTTTAAGTCAGGTGACCGTGTTGGCCGTGCTACCGCTCCTCTGCATACGATGCACCGTATTTCTCGAACATCATTGAGGTAATATCGAATACTGTGTTGAAAATTCCCACACAGCTTCTCTCAAATACCAACAGTCCGTAGACCTCATTCAAATTATAACGAGAAATCCTATTCACGAATAAACTTCGGTGGCTTCCGACTAGGAAATATAAATCGAATTATCCAAATAAATGCCGGTTATTTTGATTTCATTATAGAGTTTGCACGTGTTGTTATAAAGCTGGGAGGAGATCTCAAAATTAATACGTTTATCGACTGAATTTGGCATTCTCGGATATCTACACGTAATTAAAAATAAACAATGCTGCTAGAGGAGGAAAATAGTAACAGTAAATGCCGCTGGCGGGTTATAATGTGTTTTTAACGTAAATAATTAAGGGAAATGGTGTTTCGAATCCAATGCGATTCAAGTAAATATTATAACCTGAGGGGTTATTTCTTTATTTAACCATTTACCCTTATGACCAGTATCATAACGATATTATCTTGCAAAAGAGTTTACCAGTTACTTCTCGAAAGGGAGTTTAATTACAACATCTACACTTTAATTGATACGTGGGAAGTTAGAAAGGTTGTATGTTCATAGAATGAATGCCAGACAATTACTGTACGTCGGGACGCTTTGACATAACTATACCATGTTAATAGTTATCTAATTGACTGAATTTACAATTGAATAAATAATTTTGTGACTAACTACACCTTCCTCTCATGACTCCGTATAGCAACACGGAATGGATTAGTCAGTCTCATTTAATCTATTCATATAGCTTGGAAAATCCGTCTAAAAACCAGCTATTTCATCTATTATTATTTCCCTCGCAACATTCTAACAACTTATTTAAATATCTTGGAATTCCTACGTCTTTTTGAATGCATTTCGCGCGTTATTAGAAATATCGACTTTTCCCTCCACCATGGCGTTGATACCAGGTGCTCAACACATGGCCCCTACGGTCTAAGTCACCTTGTTCAAAAACATTGATACATTTCATGAGGCCTTCTCCAAAAAGCACTAGTCTTTCGACGACATTATGGCGACGCTAAACCTACTTGAAAACCCTTAACTTTTCAATAATTGGTGTTGACCGAAATATTTTACTGTCTGAGTTGGCGCATCCTTTCCGAGAATTAACAAATAAACTACCACGCGTCCCATCTTTTGTTACAGGGCCATTAAAAATTATTAAGACAACGTTCAACCAACAATCGGCGACTCGTAAATGCGAAATTTAAATGCAGTCGCCGTTTTTCAAGACACAGAGTGTTGAAATTAGAATAAATTTAAAACATTTTATATAATTCTACACATTAAATTAGTGTTTTTCATGATCAATGGCAAACCTAAGATTAACAAGACATACCAACGATTTCAGTTTCAGTAAGTAGTTGTTCCAACATCGTAAACATTTATATATCCCACTCGATAAAAAATTAATTCATCATGGAAGCTCCACAATGTCGCACACAAGTTTGCTCTATTGATGATATGGTCAATTTCAAGACTGTTGTTCAGTTCTTTGACCATATTCATTACTGTTTTTTTCATTACTTTCGTTAGCTATTTGTGTTACCGTGTCCACTGTTGCTGCAGTTGAAAGATTTACCAAAATAATTAGTGAAATAAGAAGAGCAAACCATTTGGTGATACCATCAGTACACTGAGAGAACAGAATTTCTCCAAATTTCATTGTTACATGTCTAGGCTTCCAAGGATTCTAGAGGTTATGATTTTTGTGCTTTTTTGGACTTCCAGATACAAATCAGATTTCGGTAAATTTTCTAACTACCCTCTTTCGGCTAAAAATTACCACTGCTGGGGCAATACACGAAATAATAGAACGCAAAAGGCAATTTACCCAAAGCGAGCACTTGCCGAAATTCGCGGTAATTTGTTTACTAAGGTTCCGCCCAGGCAGACAAATTACTTTCCGGATAATTTCGGGGAAAAATCCGAAATTAAATTTTGCATTATTTCTCGGGCCTTATCAAGTGTAAACATCAGGATTTGATATCGACTCGGCCAAATGAACTGTAAAAACTGCATTGATTCCATTTCGGCTCTGCCACACAATCGCCAGTCATCGTTTTCCAATTTTAATTCCGCGAAATGAATTTACAGACTATTTCATTTCGGAGGGATTATACGGTGGAGTTTAGGCACCTGATTACCGAACGGCCAAAAAAAAAACGCCATGCGATATGCGGCGATAAAGCTCGGTATAAATTTTTTAATTTGGAAGCTAAAACTAGAAGCGGGAATTATTGCGGTGTAATATACGGTGCAATTTTATTAAGCCACATCAGTGATTCATATCACAGGGCATAAAATTTCAAATTTTTGCGAAAACAAATATTTAGTACGTTTGAAAAGAAGGCGCGAGGATATTCTAGTCTTCGAAAACACCACGCATCATTTTTATTTACGTTTTCCTCTTTTGGTTCTTAAAGAATTTGATGAAATATGTTTTCGTGACTGATAAAGAGAGAATATAATGTATTTAATTGTTGAAACTCTGCCCGGTTTGATTTTATTACATCGTTATATTATTTATAGGTCTTGTGGGCACATTTTCTTAGATAAAATAAATACAGAGAGAATAAGGTTGACGTTTGCGAAAATAAAGAATAATTTTGTGAAAATAAGCAATAAATGTATAATAAACTATAGCAGGGAAAGATAACTAAATAGTAATAAAAATAGCTCTATAAAATGTACAGATAATTAAAAGGATGTAGTTAATAAATTGAACAAGAGGAAATTTACTTCAATAATTTAAAGTTTCACCTACCTTGCACATTACGGGAATTTGTGAAGACCTGAAACAGAAATAAAGTTTGAGTATGTTAAAAAACTCACACAAGACTTTTACATATTTCCTTTGTATACTTGAACAAAGTAATTCTTAACTGCGAGCTAGCGTTAAGTCCGAGATACATTTCTGAGATTTCGACATATTTTCCGCAGAACTTATGCTTTTGCACACATTTTAGACAAGATAGAAGGCATTTCCTGGAGCTCTCCACATGAAAAATGACCTTTCGACTGCTGTGAGGCACACTATTGATCGACCGCCAGTCGTTAAATTTGAACTTGGCGGTTGAAAGCTCTGCTAATGTACGACGATGAAATTGCAAATACCTAACTACCCTATTGCGTTCCCGTGCACCAAAGTGCATTATTAGACTCATAGGAGCTGATTTTTGTATTCAATAGAGGTTCGATACTAAGACGATATCGCAATTTGCTGGGCTAAATTTCCCTTGATGATAATTATTAGTTCAGATTCAAGACTTTCAGTAGCTTCTAGTCAATAATAAATGAACTGTTGATGCGTGTGCGCTTGGAATAAAGTACTAGGTAATTAAGAATGGATTTTAGGTACTTTTAAACCAAAATCGCGAATGTATTGGATAATATACCAAGATATAAATATTTGACGCTTTGTTTTATTTTCGATGCAAAATAATATTTAAATTACTTCTCTGAGAACTAATGTCTAGCTAGGTACGTGATATTTTAATATTCACGTTTCATACCACTGTGGGAAAAATCCAAGACAACTTGTTAAGTGAATTACTTCTAAGGACGTGTACTACAGAAGCTAAGGCATTTCACATGTATGAATCACGTACGTATGTAAAAATATTGTAATTACACTGTACGCCGATAACAAAATGAGAATAAATCAAGTCACGCCACGTCACGTAATATTTAAAACTTTGAAGAGTGCATAAATCACATTATGTGTTGAACCGTAAGGTTCTGCTGGTGGTATAAAAATGTATAGTTACTACATTTTATGTCCCTTTCCAAAGCTTTACGATGGAAATGTAGAAGCTGCACGGCTATGCGGTTTTTGATTAATCTGCACCGCTTGAACGTGTGGATATGTCTATTATACAGAAGAAAAAAAAGCAACAAAGTTATGTTTAAAAAAATTATTTATTATTATACACTTTAACGAAAAGGGCTCCATGAATCTCTCGAAAGTGGCTGGAGCACTGCAGAGACCAAAAGGCGACATTGAAGAACTACAAACCTGTTCCAATAGAGAAAATAGCGTTTTCTTTATCCTTTGATCTACTTCTATTTGCAAATAACCACTTTTGAGATCCATAGAAAACCATTTTGCATGTGACAGAATAGTGTCATCCATTCTAGGTAGAGAATAACTGTCTTTATTGTCATTTACCTTTCTACATTCAACTCAACAATACAAAATTTGGTGACTATCACTACCACTGGACTAAAAGAACGAAACATTCGAAGAGCCTATGAAGGTCACCAAAAAAGATAGTTCTACCAGATTTTTTTATTGATTGTAGAAGAGTAAATGACAATAAAGGAAGACAGTTATCAGAGGTAGAGACCTGTTGATACTGTCGACACCCTGGCAAATGCAAAATGGTTTTCTACGTTGGATCTCAAAAGTGCTTATTGGCAAGTACAAGTCATTTCAAATGACAAAGAGAAGACTGCTTTGGGATTCGTTTGTGGCCTCGATGTCATGCCTTCGGACACATAGTGAATGTATTACAAGAATTTACATGGAAGACGTGATATAATTATATTGGGCAGCAAATATATTTATCTGATGTGTAGTTCCAAAATCGCTGTACAGATATGAGTCATATACCTAAATTGTAACTACTTTTGACTGTATGTTTAAATTGTAGCGATTTGTCGTTACGTGTACTACTAGTTGGATTACCAACGTAGATCTATACTCTAACTGCTGGACTATTAACAATGATTTATTTGTTCGCAGACTGCGACTGAAAGCAAAGAACTTTCCAGCGTTTGAAAATTCCGTCGATGAAATATAATAAGACAAAGTTGTACGACATTGTATAACCCTTGTCAGCTTATGGTAAAAGTAAGTAAGCTCGGAAGGTCAACAAAAACTTTCGGGTTATATACATTTGACCCTTTGAGGAAACATTCCGCTTTTAAATATAATTTGTTTTGTTCTTCCAAATGTAATTTGTGAAGAGTATGGGCCAAAGGAAGCGGATTAAATCGTTATATGGAGATATAAAAGATTGAATATCGGATTTTAGATGACGGTAAATGTTGCAGGTTAAAGTGATGGTCTTGCTTCATAGTTAAAAAAAATTATAAGTATATTTTTATGAAAAACGTTAGTGCGTACATTTCTGTTCAATATGTTTCACAGAGCAAATTAATTCAATTTTATATTTTTTCTTTTGAATATGAAATCTTGCTCGTAATAATTCATGTGAGAGAAATAAGAATTTTTATGCTGGTAGTGATAAGATATATTTAATGCAAATTTAAGCAATAAAAAAATCCTGACGTTAATAAATTATAAACAAAATTTTACGCATTAAATAAAAAGGGACCGATAATTCGTCACGGAAAAATGGTTCAAGGGCAACGAATAAATTAATACGGTTATATATTTTTTCTAGGCTTTGAGATGTACCATTTTTAACACTAAAATCGCAATTCGAAGCTGAATTCGAATTCTTCCGATTTGGAATCTTAAGGTACTTATTTAGTGATACATTTTTTCAGTGATGTAAGCATTCTAGACTAATTTCATCATCCGTGCTCTATCTGCAGGTAAACATGTTGTAAATGCGCTTCTCCATATCTCGTTTCTGAAATAGCCTTCAGTGTTTGACAATCCTCTTGTTTACCTTTCGTTACCGTTCTTAAAAGCTACAAAGAAGACGATGTTCTTCATTTTCTGTTTTAAATCTTTCCTTATTTCATCTTGACGGCTCTTCAGTTCCTTTTCCATATATTCCTTCGTTCTATCCTGGTTGTTTTTCAATTCCTTCTCCTCATTCCTCATATCTCAAGTCATTTCTATTAACTGCTTTAAGATTCCTTCCGCTTCTGCAGATCGTGATCATCATCGACACATGCAATTTTGGGTTGTAATAGGATTCGTTTAATTTTGTGTCCCCTCTTTTTTTTTCTACACGACTGACAGTACCTGCGGTCATTGTGAAATCCACGCGCGTGGCTATACATATCATCCTCCCCATCCTCCCCAACCGATTGAATTAAAGCTCGTATAATTCGAACCGCATAATGAACCGGCCAACGCGCCAGAACGCATAGTTTTACGTTTTCTGATTTTCATTCGGCGCATCCCATTCGCCGAATAAAATATGTAAATTATGTGAGGGCGACGAGCCGTATCAAATTCGTGTCGGATTTTGTCCGGCCCGATAATTACGGGACACGAGAGCCAAAAATATGATGAATAATTGAAATTCCCCGATAAAGAATCGATGAATCCGTCCAGGTATCCGACCGGAAGATTTGACGGGAATGTATTGGCATCTGGCGGAGTGTTTGATTATGATTAATTGGGTGTGGAGGATTTGTCTGGAATAGAGGGAAACAATACCGTTTGGAATGTCACGAGTAATACTTTTGCAGTGATTTAATAAATGATGAAGTTTGATTCATAAAAAGGCACATGTTTATACCGGACTAAAGTGACACAGTTAATTTCTACAATTGAATTTACTCAAAACTAAATGGAAGTTATAGTTTTTATTTTAGATCCGTTTCTGTGAAACTTAGGTGCTCGCCTTATAACTTTGAGACTCTCCCAATGACCTTGGAATAACACTGAAAGATCGACATGGTATTGGAGTGACTTTGGAATAGCTTAAATGACCTTGAACGAGCAGCTGTGACCTTGAAACAATTTTGACCTAAGAATAACCTTGAAACAGATCCCATGATCTTGAAATTATATCGAAATAACTTCTAATAAGAACATTTGTCACATTTAAATTGATACAAACCAACACCAATGTCTTTGACATGACCTGGGGACTATCATGATCTAAGAACACTAACAAAAAGTATACAGACACATACACACGTACGGTATTTTTACTGCGATGTTTTTATCGTATTTTATTCCGGGATAAGGGTGGATTTTTACCCGAATTAACGAATAAAGTATAAAATTTTGATAGCCTTTCCAAAGCGTAGAGCGATGTTAGTTAAAACCAAGCTAATTGGCTCGATGGTGATGGTATTTACGTAAAAAATGTAGAGACCAGACCTTTTAATTTCCCTCATATACACGATCCCGCTAAAACTATTTCCTGTTCGGGATAATTGCATAGTTTAGTTCGGAGTTGCACTCTAAAATTTACGATAGAGTTAATTTTCGACGGAGAGCGCATCATAAAAAATGAACTTCGCACCGGGAATGTGCAAAATTTATGACTGCCAGGGTGTAATTTCATAAATAAAAGTATTGAGGGTGTTTTAACGATATGGTCGTATTAGCGACAGAAGAGAAGATTAAAAAAAAATTAGTAAGCTAGAGCGCCTAGAAGGCGACGAAAGCAAAACTAAATCAAATGTGATGTGGTGAGAAGATACAGCGATAGAAAACCGGGGATTAATTCCATCCGCTGCGGGAAACACTTCGCAGTCCGTACACGCGTTTAAACGCGAAAACGTATGACATGGTGGGTATTGGAAAATTCCTGGTCTATTTGGCATTGTAAACCGTGATTATGAAGCCCGCAGGGAAGCTTACTCATGCCATTTCATACGTTGTGATATTATTGGAGATCATTGTTTGGTCCAGAATGTCCAGATGTAAACGCAATCCGCATTCTCTGTATTAGCGGTCGTTTGTTTTGTTGGCTCGGCATTCACCATTTCAGGTCAGAGCTGAATAATTGAGGTGATGAGCGCAAGGAATTCCAGCAGCACAAATAACAGAATCATTTTACAGCCGGTGAAAATATCCGGCTCATTGTTTTTCGAATGAATACTTTATAACTCGCTGAAGGAGCACCCTAGCGTTTGCGTTTCCCAGTATGCCTCTTTATGGCTCAAAGCTGCTTGTACTTGTCTTGTAGTTTCAGTTTGCGGTTAATGCACGCGTCGCATAGTACGCGGGTAGTGTCTGAGGAAACGAGGAAAAATGTAAAAATATTTATTTTATAATTATGCGAAGAATATTACTGGTCTACCAAGTGAACGGGGCAAAAGTTGCGACGAATTAGAAATATTTTCGAAATATATTTCCCCTTAACCTACTCGTTTTGGGAATTTACATGATTTATTTTTTTTGCTTTAATAGATTCTTCAAAATTTATTTATGCATTTAGTTGTTTAACCTTAAACATTTAAAAATTTTTGCCTGCGGCCCTTTTTTTTTCTTTTTTGCCCACCTAGTAAGAAAGCCACAAGCCTCACCTATTCAGAATGTCACGAACCGCCACTGCTTTGTTATATTCGATTAACTAACTTCTCAGATATTGTTTTAGTAAACTTGAACACATTTTATAGGGATATCTGCAAAACAGGTGTGTTACAGAATAAAAAAGGTGTTAAATTATCTATTTTTTGTTAAATATCATTTAAATTTATTTATTTCACCTGGCTTTAGTCTTAAAAATTTTCTATTCTACATTATTCTGCTTTTTATTGTTTAATTTTTGAATTATAGCTGTTGTACATCCTATAACATGATCTAATCGTCACTACAATCTTCAGTTTGAATACTTTCCGAAGTCCATGCTCTATTTCACCTTACAATTTTGTAACAAATCAACCAAAACCACAAAAAAGTCATTAACGGCTGTAATACTAAATTAGCATGCAATGATGAGCCTTCAATTTATATTTTAAAATAAGATATCTGAGGTATAGTAACGCAGATTGTTATACATATATTACTTCGAGTATAAAAATAGAACTATTTGGCAACATTATCAACTATATAAATGGTTAACGATTCGCATTATAATTTCTATACCTATACAGGCTTTTACTTACCCTTTGGCAGTGCCCAAACGAAATTAGACTGAAACGCAAAAGTTTCCGCCTCTCTTTTCTACATTTCTGGTTATTAATCTAAAAGCATGAGGACCCTACACCTAAATTTAATTATACCCATTTCCCTCGTTTACAAAATATGTCACGGCAAAGTGCAAAAGGTACTTACGACGTTTTTGTTAAGTCTATTTTTGGGAAAAAGTATTTTAATTAATTAGACAGGTCTTTAACTTTACATTTAATGTATTCCGGATTACGGTGGATGTGTTGAGATTGAAACTGGGCGTCGTTCTTTAAAACGACTAATTTTTGTTCAGGTTGTCCTTTGCTTCCAAATATTCTCTACACAGGAATGATTTTAACATTGTTGAACGTTTTCTTCATCGCAGTCACTGGTGATGAAAAATGGTGTCCGTACGTGAACTTGAAACAGTGGAAAGACCAAAAAACAAGCAACAAGATCACAACTTCATCCTCGAAAGACAATGTTGGAATTGGACGGGGATTCTTTATTACAAACTATATATACTAGAAAAGGGAGAATATTTTCTATACACAAGGTACAAAAAAGGCTTGAAATCAAAATAATTATAACAAAGAAAATTATACGTTGTATAATTTTCATATACAGGCGGTAATAAACTGGAATACGTCCGAGTTTGTGTAATTGGTGGAAAGTTGTCAGAATAATGAATGACATAACAGTAATGGCGAATGTACGACACAACTACAAGAAATACCCGAATTAATGTAGAACATTAAATGAGTTTATTGTGGTAACGATGTGAAATAGACACCTGCGGGCAGACTTAACTAAATGGCTACAATTAGGCGCAGTATATGCCTCTGCGTATTCATGTATTAAATAGATGACAAACTGAACTCACCCCCGAACCTTTTTGCGCATTGCGTGGCATGAGGAATTTATTACCCTTAATTACAACACTACTTATTCAAGCTGTTGCATGGTCTTTTCTATGGCGTTTAGTATAAAACAGAAATAATACCAGTATAACAATTTTCAGGTATTTGAATAATTGAAAGAGTTGTTCCCTTCAGCAACAAAATCAGACCATTTATTTATTATTATCTAACAGCTACAAAAGTACAGTCACCTGTATTTATTAAGAAAATATAGAATCCTTCAACCGTTGTTAACAAAAGCGATGTTTATCCAAGCGAATAATGTATTTTATTAATAATTCGTTGCTCAGTTGAACAAACTTCAGCCGTTAAATGAGACGTTTGTGTTTGTTCTACAAAGAGAACCTTAATATTTAATGTTATTTACTGCGACAGCTAACGAAAACATACAGACGATCGCGCAAGGATAAGAAATATTGAAGGAACTGTACGTTTCTGTCTCTGTGAGACATATAATTTAACGTTTCGAAGTATTTCGGTTAATTTGAAGTAACAATATTATTAACTTGCATTTACAGACACTTGCTTCTTTATATTTCTACTTTAAATATTAACAGTTATAAAAAGCAGCGTGACCAATTTTTTTCTTATCTCAATTACGTAAATAAATGACACAAAAACTAGAACAACTGAAGAAAAACAAAAAGATCAGTTAAATTGTAGGCAGGCGCATAGAAAGTAGTAACATCAGCAAGGAACATACTACGAACAGGTATTACGAGTAGAAAAGAGACAGATCATTAACATATACAATGAAAAGCAAGGGCCCCAATACGGAACCCTATGTGAGGCACATGTTCATAACCTAAATAAGAGGCATCGAAACCAACAATTTGTCTACGAACGGTTTCTTGTCACACTGTATATTGCAAGACAAAGTTAAAGTATTGTTTGGACCTACTGTTACTTTTATTTTTTTTATATTTTGAAAGTATTTAGGTACATCCATTCATCGTATTTGACGATGGTTTTCATCTGGGTATTATGAGTGACCTAGTGCCGTATTAAACCCTCCCACAGGACTCCCCTTTTTCAGGCAAGGAAAATAATAGAAAAGCTTTATTAATAATGGACAGGAAGAGGGGAATAAAGCTGCAAATATCCTGTCGGAGCCATACAGCTCGCTTCCGACAAATCACTTCTGATCATTTTTCATCGGACAACAGGAGTCGGTAAAAAAGATTTCCACGTTATGGATTACGTGCATTTTCGTATTGTGGGGCCGCAACTGGCGGCGGTTTCCAGCGACGTCAAATCGGAAAAAATCCGAGGTACGAATAATGGAAAAGTTGAGGACGTCAGGAACAGGCAGCTGTCCAAGAAAGGGGCGGATTAGGTTATTTCTAGTGCGGTACAGTTAAACTGTGTCATTACAGATGTTTGGGATCAATTGTAGCCGAAGCTTCATGTTTTCCTAAATCACATTCGTGCAAATATTTCGATGGATATTTGACATATACGATTATATCAACCAAAAGCGGAGATATTCAAAAACACCATTAATAAAAGGCCCAGTATAGATTTAATTTGATTCACAACTGTATCTCAAAGAAGAAAAAACCTCTTCAATTTTATTTAAAAAACAGTTACCTAAATTTTACTACTTATAAGATCGACAATAATTATAAGTGTTTCACAAAAAAAATTTAAAAATTATATGTTGCAAGTGTAATTTTACATAAAATGTAATCATTAAAAGTTCCCAAAATTCAGTGGCGTAGAAATTTTGAATTTTGGGAGAGATAGCACGAATCAAAATTTGACTCCACTGAATTATCTGAATTTCTAGTAATTACATTCTATTTTAAATTATACTTATATTGTAAATGTAAAGAATGTAGACACAAGTCTTTTTTCAATAGGTTATACAAACTTTCACAAATCTAAAAGTAATTTCGTTCCTATCGAAACGAGTAAAAAATTGCAGCATAAGATTAATCTTTACTTTCATTTTATACAGGCTGATTCACAAATGGTGACCAAAACCTCGTATTCTTTGGTGAATTTTAAGGGTCTTTCCTATAAAGTTTTTATTTGGGACGCTTCGTTAAAAAAATACAGGGTGTAAACTGAAAAAAATGTTTTTAATTTTTTAAAATAATTTGCTAATGCGTGATTTTCGAATAAAACTTAAAAAACGAACTGAGAACACGCTTTATATTCGAATATAATGCTTTTTAAAATTACATAGTGGGCTGCGATAGTAACTTTGAAATTCTGAGCAGTTAGAAGAAAGAATAAATAATGCTTTTCATCAGATTCAAGCAACAATAAATTTCGAACAAATTACATTTTCGTTACTAAAAAGATGTCGGGCCTGTGTTCGTGGAAATGGAGGTATTTTTGAGCATTTACTCAAATAAAATCATTAAAATGCTGACTAATGTTATTAATTTCTTTATTCGAATAAATAACCGAATGATTAGTGCTCTCATTTTTGGTCAACATTTGTGAATCACCCTGTATACGTGGTATATTATAAAAAATGTACTTACAGTTAAGTAAAGCAGGATGTGATCTATTTACCTGTAACAATGGAAACAATTTTTAGCTATTTTATATATCGCAAAAATCTTAATCGATTATATGTTGTGTCTATTCATATTGTGATCAAAAATCTAATAACCATCATGGATTTATTCAATGTTCAATTTTAACGAATGTTTATAACTTTTCCCAGTACGTTTCTGAAGCTCTTAGACAGTTCACAAATTGATGGAATCTTTATAGATTGTACTTTTGCAAGCTTTTAAGTTAAATAAATTATTTACTTCGTTATTAGTAAATAGAACACTAATTATGTAAAAGTGATTCAAATCACAGCTGTCTGTGCGTGCTGTAAGTGACGGCGTGTCTCAGGGTTCTAACTTGGGCCCGCTTAAGTTTTTAACGTTTGTTGATGACATTGTAAAAAACTATGAATTTTCAAATATACGCTGTAGACATAGAAATAGACGCTAGCTGATGACATAAAAATGTTATAAATAATGAAGATAATTTTTTGTAGTCGTGGTGTAGGGCAAAAACTTTCAATTATAACTACCCTGTACTATAACGAAAAACATATAGGGTGTTAGAAGTTTGACTGCCTTAATTTTAACACGATAGAATACATTAAAATAAACAAAAAAAACGTTATACATATAACATGGGTTCTCAACTCGACCATTTCCGAGAAAAAATTATCAAAATCAACTTGGTGTACAAAAGTTCGATTAATTAAAGAATATTGACATAACTGCGTGCATAGAATACCACAAAATACAATTTTATCCCTTTTTTGAACTTCTTTATGCTGAATTCTAAAAAATAATTAGCGTTGTAATAAATTTAAAATTCGATAAACTTCATATCGAGCAATGTGACAACGGCGCGGCGGATAACACGCAGTTCAGTTGGTATCTGGAATTGGACCGTGTCTGAGTGTTTTTTGCGTACCACTATTTTCACTTCTTGAGGTGTTTTCCAGCGAGTGCGCGAAAATTGGATTCGAAGGTGTCGTGCATGCATCGACAATAGTGGTGGGCATTTTGAGCATATTTTGTAGTTTGTTTTGTAATTATACGTTTAAAAATTAATGAATTTTGCTTTACCGTTAATCTTAAGCCCCTGTAATATACAACTTTTTGTTCGTTTATGATTACTCTATCTCATGCTGCAGTAAAGGCAGTCAAACTTCTTACACCCTGTACATTTGCTGATAACCTCATCAGATATCATTATGACACTGTCTAAATTACAAACCTATATTCGTAAGATTATAGAATTTTTACGGGAATAATATTGCTTTTATTGTTTTCAATTTTGATTGGCAGAACAAGTCTTCGCACTCGTGCCGCCCCTAATAAACCTCGTACAACGCCAAATTAAATTGTAAAACTTATTTCCCTCAGCGCGAACAACAGTCGCTTTCGCGGATCCGCGTACAAAATTTCATCTAATTAATCACCTATATCGCCGTAATTCTATTTGTTCTGGGATTAGCCCAGCGCCCACAAATTCAGTATCACCCCCTAACCTAAGCCCCACATCCCGCTCCCAGAGATGAAATACACCCGGAAGCCCGGCCTGCAAAGAGAAATTAGGCAAGTCGCGGGGAGAGTTATGATGTGGAGTGTCGGGGTAGTAGTTATTAGTTGCGTTTCCTCTCGCCAGGGGACCTTCTCGCTTTTTATATGCTGCATACGTTTAACTCCGCGTCACTGAGTTCCAAAAGAGGGCGAGAGAAGATGTTTATTGGACTCAACAGTCGATCGCAGCAGTAAAATTTAATCGGCTATGGTAAGGCTCATTATCTATGACAATCACTACAAGTTAAAATTTAACAAATACTTGATGTAAGGTGAGCAAACAGAGAATTAAACGTCAGAGCTATCCTTTAATTACATCCAATTTGCTGCCGCTTTTAACCGGCCTAATGAAAATTTATACTAAATAAACAAATTCTGCCAGGGCTCTAAAAAACTACAGCGGCAATTACGAGCTGCAGCGACCCGTGTAACGCCGGTAAAGCCTCTCGTTTCAAAGCTAATAAATAGTCCTTGTAAAAACAACTTCCGTATGAATAGCAAATGAGGCGGGTATTAAAAATTTTCACAGGGCGTTTGTTTGGGTTCGGAATTTCCTACACACACACACACACACACACACACACACACACACAAGGCTAAACGGGTAAGTTGAAAGTTAACGCCAGGCGTGGTCGAAAAAAGGAAAGAAACGCAAAAATAAAACGTCTTAATTTAAAGTCGTAGGCCTGACTGAGCGTACAAAAGGATTCGAAGCGCCGCTTGCTAGGATACGTACGAGGACCGGCGACAAAAAGCTGAAAGAGAATAAATAATTCGGTGCAGTACCGTTCTTTGTGCCACTCTTTTATGGAGCTACCACTTTATTTGATAAAGGCTGCGAAATATGTGCCGGGATGTTTTGCTGCGCGTTTGAACGATTAAAGAAACTCGCTGGGCGACTCAGGATTGCAATAAAGTCTACTCTGTTTCACAAATAAAATCTACCTCATTTCACAAATTAAAATATGTTTGATTACTGATGGATTGAACATTACATTATACAACAGAGGAGAATAGAAAGCTTAATTGTAACACTTTGCATCACAAAATTGAACTTTGAGTGTGTTATTTTTTTTACTGTAAGTCTATGCAACGTACCTACTGTTCTTATAAAATACTATTTCCCTTTCAGCAGTATGTTTTCTAGATAATATTCGCTAATATATTCCTTACATTAAAGAGGTATATCCGAGGGTATATCGGGGTCCGAGGGAAGTGAGGAGCGCAGGGGGGGTCCTGTGCTTTTCTTATGGGACTAATGGTCAATCTGAAAAAATTAAATTCTATTGAAATTATTTGCGATAAACATTATCTATATAGCAAAGAAATCTACTCATATGCACATAACATACATATTGACTAATTAACAACATAAAAATATCATATTTAATTAGTTTTAAATTATATTTAATTAACGCATAAAGACTATGTAGATGTGGCAACAGCGCTAATAATTGACTAGCAGTTGTACACACTGTGAACCTACAGACCTCGGACATCGGAGATATTGCGTGTCAAATTCGGGTAAAGATGCGTACGCGTTCAAAAATGTTAAACTATGTACAATATAATTATTATATATAGCAAATATGTCGTATTATCCTTGCGAAGATTTGTATCCTTTATTTAAAATCCGTGAATCATGTGAACTGGTAAAACAACGACAATTATGTTAATTTAGTTCTAAAGAAATGAAATGACAGTTGCGCCCATCTCTCGTCCTAGTCAAAGAAAATTTTAGATGCAATTTTGAAGGTTCTGTGATAGAAATTACATTATTACTCACTGTTCGTGTTTTTAATCTCTATTTTAGTAATGTTACAAAAGTTTTGCAGCTATAACTCATTTTTTAGATATAAAGTTTGCTGAGAAATATTTATGTTCCTTGTTATTCCGTACAAATGCTTTTATCTCAAGTATTACTAATTATATCAATCAAGTAAAGAAAACTTTATGTAACCCTAAATATTGCTGGGTAATGATTACGATGTTTTTATAAACCATTAAATATATTAAAAGGATTTATCAACTGTATTTTTTATTCCAATAAATATATCACAGCTTCCTAGTATTTTTTAATTAATCTAGTTTTTTAAAAATAAACTGTTGTGGATAATTTATTGTTGACAACAATGTACATGAGATTTAGGAAAAATGCATATGTTTGAAATCAATTTCGTTTTTATCAAGTCTTTCAAATGTATTCCCTCCTTACTGTCAGCTGATTGCGACGTTGTCACATTAATCCACAAGTCAGACAGAAATGCAATTATTGGTTTCTGTTTCTAATTAATACAGCTGTACTATGTTCAAAACTGACATTAGTTTTATATCAAAAATAAGATAATACTGTGTACTATCTACGGAAAAGTTTTGTTTCACAATTTCTACATTTTTTTCTCAGTTATGGGCAAAAAAGAGCCGCGCCGTCCATCTTCGCCATATAAAATGGTGGACTTTTGATTCTGGGGATTTATGAGAAATTTCTTTTATAAGGTTCGATATTAAATAAACGCCTTTGACGAGCATGATTGTTCATTGGTTTTAATCTTTCTTATAGTTATTTTTATACATGGCTGGAAAATCCACAGTCATATGCCTTTACGTGAGAGTGATAATGTAACTGATAGAAATCCGTCGATAGATAAGGATGGCTATATTGAAGACGTTTCATGATCTAAATAGTCAATAGAATGCGTTCGGTTAGAAGTAGTAGTGACTATTCAGATTATGAAACGTCTTTACTATAACCATCCTTGTCTATCGCACGGATTTCTTTACTTTACTTTGTCCTCTCATGTAAAGGCAGAAGGACTATGTATATACAGTTGCCAGTCATGTATAGTAATACTTGTAGATATTTGTATATATTTTTGCCTAACCTCTTGTTCAGTTGTTCTAAACAAACAAATAAAATGGAAAAAGTAACTTCTGAAGACCACAGACTGTTATTAAGGTACATATTTATTTTACGGATATTTCGTCGCCGGGCGAGGTCAAAAGAAATGTTACCGTTTTGAGTTTTTTTTTTTACCACAAACTTTATAGTTCGTGGGCATACATTAAACACAGCAATACACGTTCCCCGATATTTGCTGACGGGGACAATTCCCTCGTCAATAATGCAAAATGTGTGTCGAGTGACAATTTACCATACCCATAAATAAAAAAGCACGCTATTTTACATTTTCAATCAGCTTACGTCATCGGGTAATATACAAAACAAAATGCGCCTAGGGATAGATTCATACAGAGCAAATACCGCGTTCGATTTTTCCCCGTACTGGCGTTTCGCGAGGTGGTATACGTGCTGGCGGGACACAGCGTCGTGTCGCGTCCGTAAAGGAAATTACAGTCGTAAATATTACATCTAGATGCAGCCATACCGACTCCATATATCTGTTATTTGGCCCTACATCCATACGTTTCCCTTGTCAATGTGTCTTGGCGATTTAT